CGCAAACGCCTTACATCCAGCAGTCGCCTAAGAAAGGCTTAATTGAAGGTCATTGCAAAGCAGCACTTCTGAAAATGCGTTAACACATTTCACAGTCAGCAAAAAGATGCAACAAAAATTAAAAATCAGATACGAAAAACACATTTAACGCTATAAAAATGAAAATAATGGAGCTACCGTGACAAACTCGCACCACGTGCTAGAGTGGCGCTCAACTGAAATGTAAACAACATCAGCTGATTAGTGATGGACAAAGTACTCAATAGAGATGGGTGGCCGGCATTACCCACCGTCCGCCATTGCCCCGCTCTCCCCTAAACCTTTGGGCACCATCATGTAGCTCATTCTTTTTACTACGCTTTGAGACCAAGAAAAGACACCTGCATGTGGTATTTAACCCCCCCAAAAAGGTTTTCGCATACCCTTACAAAATGGCGTTTTGCCCCATACCCTGGGTAATACGCCCACACCCATGTGCAAAGCGCCCCCACCCCATCCATCAACAGAAAATGATGAGCATGGCAGAACTTGACGTCATTCTGACGTCAGTTGTGGTCAACATATCATAGCCTTTGGAATAAAATTGTGTTGCAATGTGTAAAATGGATGCCCGGAGGAGTCCTGAAAGTTTGGTGACGATATCTGCAGTCGTTTAGGATATATCAGTAAAAAAGTACAGGGAGAGGCCTTTTCGGCCCCGACCTACAGGGCGCTACCCTGCACTCTCACCACCGTGCAAAACGCCCCCCCCCCCCTTTCAGAAAACTGGGGGCGTCTTGCCCCATGCATCGAGTAGGCGTCTTTCCCCATCCACTCCATTTCCGGTCAACAAAATATTGACAAAAAACGCGCCACTAACGCCGCAGCATAATACATTCAACAGAATGACAATAAAACGCAGTTTTGAGTGGTGTGCACAATAGCAAGTTTTGTGATTTAAAGAGGTCATCAAAATATTAGGAATCTTCTGTAAAAACAACAAAAACAACACCCAAAACCAACATCAGCACCTACCCACGCTGCTCCTCAAGACGCAGAACCGGAAATAGAGACCTACGTAAACAAGCAGCTGACTGTTCTGAAAGACGGGATAAAACCGACGGGATAAAACCAGGGTATATTGAGTGAGGATAAAACACCTATCCGTCGATAAGAAATACGATTTTTTTTAGGGGAGGCGTTTAACCCAGGGGTGCGTTTTCCCCACAGTTACCCTACATATGTTTAACCGTGCTGTCGATTTTGTTTTAAATTTAATTTAGTTCAATTTGATCGATTTGATAAAATAGCTAGCCCCGACTGTCAAAATGATATGGCGGTGTTCCAACTTGAAAGAACGCTACCATTGGTTCAGCTCTGCTCCTGAGTCCTGAGTGGAAAAGTAGGTAATAGTCTGCTGACCAGCTGAATATAGCATGGGCTGAATATGGGCTGTCTTGATGGACATGCCACAGATAACAGTACATAGCCAATACCTGCTCCACCCACACCCACATCGGATACGGCATACCGCATAAGTAAGCTGTCACCCGGAGCGGACAGGACTTTTCAACCGCCATACTTGCAAGCTGGCGCTGCAGCCATCCTAGGATGGTATTTGTTGCAAAATGCAATGACAAATTTTGACCTTTCCTTATCAAGGTCATGCTATAACTTGTAGGGGATTCAAGCATCGGAACCTGCAACTTTTTATTGGTTCCCCGGCCGTATAAAGTTACTCTACAATGCCCGCCTGCCACCCGGGTGTATTAAACTAAGCGGCCCGTATGATTGTTCGTTCACGTTCACCGTGTATCAGCCCGGCATCTGCCGTTACCCAACTAATCTACAGGGGTGTCGATTTTTCAAAATGGTTGGGGGTGCTCAACCCCTGCACCGGGTGAAAGATTGCAGCTTTGCCATGGGGCACAACCGTACAAAGCAGGGTTGGTTATCCCCATAAGGTACTGATAATGCCGGGGTTTCCACTAACATTTCCCAAGGGCAGAACGTTCTTCTTGAAAATCATTCTGCTCGTCCTAGTACTTGGCTACCTTATTACATAAACATCTTTCCGAAAAAAGTCGTATATTTGCCGGCAGCATGGCAGCAGCCCCGACACCTCTGTAATAAGGTGACAGAAACCAATGACGGCGATTAGCACCGGTGCAGCAGCCGCTGCGGTCCGCAGGGGCGGACATTGCGCGGAGGCAACGGTGGCTACGAGGCTCTGGCGGTAATCAGACGATCCCAATAATGATCGCTGAAAAATGACAGGTGATCGCATTTGGATATTTACGGGTTTACGATTTTCCTCAGTGGCGTAGCCAGGTGGGCCGTGAGGCACGTGCCCCCCCCCCCCCATCAGGTTCGGGCCCAGGGTCCCCTCGGGTTATTCGGGCTTGAGGGGCCCTGAGGCGCCATTGGCCGCTAAGAGTCAATGTTGGCCATATTTGGACAAAGAAGGATCCACGGGGCTCGTAAAAAAAACCCTCATGGGCCCACAAGTACCAACACTAAGATCTCCATAAGGGCCCCAAGCCAGTCTCTGAGGGCCCCTTTGCGGCCTCTGAGGGCCCCTTACCGGCTTCGGAGGGCCACATGTCGGACTCTGGGGATCTTAACCGGCTTATTCCCAGCCAGCTAATTTGGTCTTGGCCGTAGCTGGTTTTACTCTGGCTAGCTCCGCCATTTGCTCCGGCTAAAGTACGGGCAAGGTCTGGGGCTCTACTGGAGCTGACACACGATACCGGAGCTCGCCCGCATCACAGCCGGACTTATGCCGCATCAGCCGCGCCGTACCTCCACCGTACTTCAGCCACAGTAAGCCAGAGCAGCTATGGGGTGCAGCCGGACCTGGTCGTAGGGAGCCGGACTTGAGCCATGGCAGGGAGCCTGACTTGAGCCAGACTTGGCGGTCCGGAACCATATCAAACCCGGGAGCGCTACAGCAAATACTGGCTAGCCGGAATAGAGTCGTATCGACCCAAACCCCGGATTTGACGGCGTTCCGTTTATACCGGCCCAAGTCTGGCATGTCGCAGTTGCCGGGGCAAAACGGACTTGCGCCGAACCAAATTGCTGGCTGGGTAAGGGCGCCAGCTCTAGGAGCTCCGCACCCGCCTGTAATGGCCCCACACCCATTTCTCTGAGGGCCCCTATAACGGCGACTGTGAGGGCCCTCACCGACGCCCCTGAGCGCCACGCCGGCGTCTCTGAGGCCCTACACCAATGCCTTTAAAACCCCTACGTGGGCGGTTCTGAGGGCCCTCGTCAGGTACCAGCGACCCTGACGGTCCCACACAGGTGGCTCGGAGGGTCCCAGCGGCGTCTGAGAGCACCATGCCGGTCTCTGAGAACCCCACAAGGCTCCTGAAGGCACCGGTGACCTCTTGATATCTCTTGTCGGCCTATGAAGGGTCCGTTCCGTAACAGCAGTTCTGAGGGCCACACGCGCGCCTGTGATGGCCCTAAACCAGTGTCTCTGAGAGCCTCCACAACGGCGCCTGTGAGGGCCATCACCGGCAACTGTGAAGCCCCTACACCGGCGCCTCGGAGGGCCATACATTGCCATATCTGAGGGCCCCGCACTAGTGCCTCTTAAGGCCCTATATCGGCGGCTCTGAGGGCCCAACACCGTCGCTTCTGAGGGCCCCACAAGTGCACATGACGGCCACCCACCGGTGACATTTGAAGGCCCCACACCGGCGACTCTGAGGGCCCCATCGGCGTCCGAGTCCGTGCAGGTCTCTAAAGACGACCCCACAGGGTTTCTGAAGGTACCACCGGCCTCTGATGGCCTTTGCCGGCCTCTGAGGGCCCGTCGCCGGTCTCTGGAGCCCCCTGCCGGCTTGTAAAGGGTACGCGTTATCAGCTTTAAGGATCAGACACTCGTGTACGACGGACCCACACCAGTGTCTTTGCAACTGAACGTCTTTTTTCGCCCTTCTAACTTTTCTTTTTTAACTTTTTAACTTTTAACTTTTCTTCTAACTTTTCTTTTCTTTACATCTTATTTCATGCATTGTAAATTGCGTAATTGTTTTATTTTTAGTAGTGAAAGGCTGCGGAACGAATTATTTTCCTCAAGCAGAGTTAGTGGGAGTTATTGAGGGACAAAATGATTGGGGTTGCTAACTGGAACATTTGGGGGTGCCCGGAAAACCATTGGGGGTGCTCATTTGAGCATTGGGGGTGCTGCAGCACCCCCAAAAGTATACAAATCGACACCCATGCAAAGATTTGGCTCACATTCCCGACTCTATATTTTTAGTAGGTACTGCGGATCAAATCATCTCCCGTTCACTTACTCACATCCACGCGCACGACACACATTTGCACACTCATACCCGCACTACGCGCCGCGCCGATTAAATATAATTTAGACGGGGCGGTCCTGGATATAAACGAGAGTGCCCACCAGCCACCGCTATTTGCACTTTGCAGCGGGTCAGAAAGCCAACTAAAATCCAGGACATATGTCGGGGACTTCCGCAGCGCCTGGGCGTTGCGGGAGGGAAAAGATCGCTTACCGAAAGGTGTTGCCCCGACGACACCGCCCTGGCAAATGCCCCGAGAGACGGGCCCGCGAGTCCCAGGTCCCGGCCAGCCGCAGCCTTTCACCCGGCGGGCACGCCTTTCCCGCCGGAGGCTATCATACGGCGGACTGGCCTTACACGCACTCTGGTACTCCGGCCCGCCGCTCCTCGTCGATGTAGGTACGTACATACGCTTCGCGCTGAATTATGCCCTTACAAACTTTAAAGTTCACCAGTTACCGATTATAAGACGGCTGACAAAAACACATCATCAACTTTGTCCATTTTTTTAGTTGATTCGAATAATGCAATAAGATTCCCGATTCCTCATAGATAACTATATCTATGTAATTCCTTCAATGCAATATTAATTTCAGCCGACCTGGCAAGTGCAGAGTGCTGCATGTTTAAAAACGTTGGCTGTAATTTTGATGCATGTTTTCTAATAAGAAAAGTGCAGTGAAATAACGACAAAAAAATGTTCCGTTTATTGCGCAGAAAAGACATTTACACATGCGTGTCTGCTGTTTTGGTATACACACGTGTGTGTGACGTCGAAGGTACCCTGGCAGCTACGCGCCCTAATCCAACAAGAACAAGAACAAGAAGTGACGTCGAAGGGTATGTCACTTTGCCCTTAATTTTGTTATTTTTCGTCAAGCATGAATAGAACCGCGAGAGTTGGAAACCAGTTGCCTAATAATTTGCCTCAGCTACAAAACCTCATCAAGAGAGACCATGAAAGCTATCAGGAAGAGGTAAGCTGACACCAACGCTGACAGTGGCTTGCTGTTGCTGAAATCGAGATGAATTGTTTCACCGTCTTTACATTAGTGTTGATATCATTTTAATTATTCCATTTCAGTTTCATGAAATTACTTAAAGGAAACAGTTCACTTTCCTGAAATTAGTATTTTGCTATGGATTTCCGATATTTATGCTCAAAATGATCAGAAAATAAAATAAAAACTTTTTGTAAAAACAATTATTTTCTATATTTTAATATAGGACGAACTATATTCTATGTAAAATAATGTTTGACGCGGAAGCTTATTACGCGTTGACCAATCATATTGCGTAGTTGAAACCTACGCATGCTGCATTAGCTGTAAGCAGCATGCTGATTGGCTGACGATGCCGTGGCTGCATTCCTGTGCAAGGCACACATTCCTCTGCAAGGCACTCTTTTCGGAACGAGAAATGGAATATCTTCGTCTAGGGTGATCGTTGAGCCGTAAAAGCTCCTGATTTGTGCTAGTCTCAGCTCAAGCTACGAAACTGCTATTCCAGTTCAAAATCCCATGTTAAAAGTGAACTATTTCCTTTAACGGCTTACACTAAGTAGCATAGGTAGAAATATAATTTCTATTTTGTAGCGATCAGGGATGGTCCGTGGTTGATAGGAATCACCACAGCCAGTTTAAGTGTATTGTTTGGGCCTTGGGGCAAACCATGCCAGCTTTGATGTAAAGGGTATGCTGAACTTTGACATACAAATTTCTGTTACCTGTCCAGAATTGCTCAGTAAGATGCCAGATGGTAGGGAGGGGTCAGGGCCTGCTCATTAGTCATTGCTCAATAAGCTCTACTTAGTGTGAGCCATAGGCGGCGGAACGGGGAGGGCACCGTGTCCCCCTTTGATTTTGGCATTTTAACATTAGCCCTGTTGTGAAATGCGGAGCTCCCTCGCATCATCCTCACGCGACCAATACCGATGTTTTGATGGTTAACCGGGATGTGGAAATACAGGACGGTTGGACACCAGACCTCAAGTGTTTTATCACAATTAGATTAGATTAGATTTATGAATCGATTCTGATAATGGATGTTAGACGTTAGACACTATGGACGGTAGATTAGAACAAGACTTCGATTTATAAACGTTTTGAATCCAATCACAACATCTGGCGACCGTGACAGGACTCAGGACTAGCGAAATGGAAGCTTACATTGAAGTCGCAGCTAGACATGGATTGACAGGCGAAGCAGCGTTGACTTTCGCATGCAAACAACTAGAAAGAGAGGAGAGAAGACTGGAAAGAGAGAGGGAAAAGGAAAAGGAAGAGAGAGAAGAAAAAGCCCAGGAAAGAGATAGGGAAGAACGCGAAAAGGAACGAAAACATGAACTGGAGCTAGCAAGATTACGCGCCCCGTCGGAAACCTCGGCGGACACGGAGAGGCCGAGACGAGGCACTGTTACGGGTCCCAAAATGCCCACGTTCGACGAAGAAAAAGACAAAATGGATGCCTACATCAAGAGATTCGAGCGCCACGCCCGGCTCAATGATTGGCCGGAGCACCAATGGGCAGGGCACCTTAGTGCCCTCCTCACAGGAAAGGCTCTAGAAACATATTCCCGGCTTTCAGAAGAACAAGCGGAGTGGTATGAGGATTTAAAGGCAGCCTTGCTCGAGCGGTATGGGCTAACATCAGAGGGTTACCGCCTGAAACTGAGAAATATCTTACCAGAGACAGACGAGAGCCCAAGTCAATTTTTGTCTCGTCTTGAGTCATACTTGGCCAGGTGGATCGAGCTGTCGGGAACTGATGCTTCATACGAAGGTCTCTTCGATCTGATCGTGACTGAACAGTTCCTGGAAAGCTGCCCGGACTCCTTGGAAGTCTATCTCAAGGAGAAAGGATGCAAGGTGTCTGCTGACTTAGTCGAACATGCGGCGCAATATTTAGTCGCGCACGGTAAAACCTTGGAGTCTATGTTAAGACGATCAGTCGGCAAAAATATAGCATCAGCCACCGCCCTTGCGACCAGTTCTGGATCTCTTGGTCAGACATGCCTGTTCTGCGAGTACCAACATGCCACGAGCAAGTGTCGGAAAGCTAAGCATATGACCATAACTGACCGGCGAGATCGACTGATTCGAGCCGGCGCATGTTTTTGGTGCTTAGAACCCCGGCACCGCGCAGCGGAATGCCCGGCCAACAGACCCAGGTGCGAGCGGTGCTCGGGCCCCCACCACTCGTTGTTGTGCGAACGATCCGCATCTCGGACGGTCAACACAGCACAACTCGAGACATCAGCGACGGAGCCCTCCTCGAACCCGACGGTAATAGCCGCAAGCGCTAGCGGAGCGAGCGCTGGAGGCAATGGGGTCATTCTAATGCAGACGGCGCGGGTGTATGCAATGGGCGAAGCGGACCGAAAAGTAGTAAGGGTGATGCTGGACACCGGTAGTAACCAGTCGTTTGTGACATCCGCCGTGGCCGACCAGCTTCACTGCCAGCAGCTGGCCCTCGACGACATGAACGTGCAGTCGTTCGGAGGGGGGCAGACGAAGCAAAAGATGAGGAAGGTGCAGATATCACTAAAAGGCCTCTGTGACGGAACCCCACCTCTGGCGATCACAGCCTATGTCGTGCCGACGATCTGCAGCTCACCACCGAGAGCGGAGCCGGCGATCAGACGTCACGCTCACTTGAAAGGACTGCAGCTGGCTGAACCGGTGACACTGGAAGGCGAAGATCACACCATCTCCGTACTGATTGGACAGGACTACATGCGGGAGGTGATCGACGGCCGCATGAAGATCGGAACTGCCGGGCCCATCGCGCTGGGCTCGCGATTCGGCTGGATCATCTCCGGTCCCTCCGGCTCTGGGAAAGCAACTCAGGCAGCGACTTCCAACTTCATCAGAGCGGAGAAGGCCGAAGACCTCTTACAAGACCTCTGGAGCCTGGAGAAGGTAGGAATTAGTACCGAGGAAGCCGATGGTGGAAAGGACCGCATTCGCTGCGACGATGAAGTTAAACGCTCTTTTGAAGAGACGCTGGAGCGCCTACCAAACGGAAGGTATCAAGTCTGTTGGCCTTGGAAGGAAGGGATGAGAGCCTCCGTCCCGACGAATGAAATACTCGCGAGTACGAGGCTAAATGCCTGTGAAAGGTCACTTAAGAAGAAAGGACGGCTGGACGAGTATGATAACGCAATCCAAAACTACTTGGATGACGATCACGCGGAGAAGGCGCCAACCGTACCCGACGGGCCAGTGCATATTTTGGCCCATCAAGCTGTCTACAAAAAGAGCAAAGTGCGAGTAGTTTTCGATGCTGCAGCTGGACAACCAAGTGCCCTGAACGCAGGGTTGGCAGGGGGTGGCAAAAACTGTTTTTTGCCAGTGGTTTTAACCGGTTTAAACCGGCTGGCACAAACCCCGGTGGCAAAAACTGGCAAAAACTGGATAAAACTCAGGTGGGCCAAACCACAACTTTTCTAGTTAGGAATGGATCTGAAATGTACAGTGTGTCTAAAAAGAATGTACCGTCGCCACTACGTGGCGCTGGTGTCGCGAGCCGGTAGTTGGCTGAATCCGCACCAGACCACACATTCCCAGGCGCTAGGTGACAGCTGCGCAGCGGCCGGTAGTAGCGTAAGCCCGAACCTTCGTGACACGACCCCGGGGGGGGGGGAGGGAGGGGAGCGGGCGGGGCAGCGCGTGTAGGGAGGGGTGCTCCAGCAAGCTGGCAGTTGTCGCGGCCAAAGGTCAAGGGGTCACACACCAAGCGAACGGACGCTGATGTGGGTTCGTGGGGATCATGAACTTGTGTGTGGTAGGTGCGTCTTGCGATGCACGGGTGATACGCCAGGTCTAAGCCAAAGGATTCAGGGGAGAGCTGAAGAAAACACCTGGTCAACTACGGCGAATAATAGTGCTGAAAAATGGAAAGTATGGGTCAATGCAAGCCTTCATGACTTTAAACAACTTTCTGAGGACGCAAAGGCCAGCATTGAATAACGATATCCGGATCGAAATTAGCAATGATTTATAATTAAATGCCGAACTAATAGCGCTGCAAAACCCTCCTAGTAAATTGTCAAGTCGGATTATACCCACTTGAATTAAACTATCCTAAATAAAATTGTTAATTAACTTTCTAACACTGACGTTCTTTATCATACGATAAGTATGGGGTTAACCAAGATTCAGCATCTTCCGCGTTCAAACAATCACCTGTAAGGCTAGAACATTAATGGCCAGGTAAAAACATGGTCGGGATTTGATTAACCGGATTATAAGTCGATTTTTTTAGTCGGGATTTGATGTCAGATTTTTTTACGCCAACCGCATTTTTAAGTCAAGTCAGGTCACTGATCTATGACGTCATAAATGAGCAGTCCTAAAATGAACTGTGTGAAACTGTCCTAAACTGTCCTCAACATTTTAGGACTGTATGCACACTCCTAAAATGTTCAACTTCGCTACACCCTCAGTGCAGAGCTTTCATAGGGAGATGAAACTTACAGGATCTTATAGTATGATCGAGAGTCTCACAACTTGTATAAATGTATATCTCGGATTTTCTGAAGGGTCGCCTGAGATCAGGTCAGTCTCTCACCATTAAAAGTCAGGGAAATATGGAAATTGCTAGTTTGGTCCGAAAATGATATACAACTATCTCAAATTCTCAAGCACACGGAATCGTGATTTCATGCGCTCCTTGCAAGGTCTGATGCTTTAATTTTGCTTTGTTGATCTTGCGTGACGTCATTTATCACGTAACCAAGGGTATCAATTTTTCGTCAATAACTCCCGATCAACTAAAGCTACCGAGTCGATAAAGCCACTAATGGACATGAAAAGACCTGCCGAATCGATTGATATGCAATATGACCTCCTTTGACCAGCTTCGTGACCTGACGGGCTGTGACCTGACCTTGACCCGAGGTTAACACCTTAACTCTCGCCCATATTGGTGTTTTTCCAGCCGCAAACGTATAAGGGGGGGGGGGGGGGTCCGTTGG